GGGGTGTTGAAAGATGGTGAACTAAAAGTAACTAAATGCTAAAATCTCTCAAGAAAAGAGAGGACAAGACTCCTAAAACAGACATCTCCCGGCCAGGGGCAGAGGTCATCTTGCAGGCTGAGCCCTGCCCTGTTACAGCTGGGAAGGTCTTGGAGGTGGGAGGGGTGGAGACTAAGAATGGCCTGGCACACGCTGCAATTGGAGGAGCTGTTTGTTCTCCAAATGTGTCCAGGCACAGCCCCCTGAAACTGGTGAGATGGAGACATTTGTGCACTTAATTGCCATCGTGTTCTGTTGACATCATGGCGTTCATGAAACAAACGAAGGACTCATAATTCTGAAGGCCACCCCGGACCTGCTTTTCAGCTATATTACTTCAGCATTCCAAAAGGCCCTAGTATCTGAAGAGTGTTCTGGGCCCCGTGACCACAGAGAAAGGCCTTTCCTTCCGTGTCCCCATGCACAGCCTTGGGTCGGTCCCCAGGGCTCGGCTTACCTCACTCTCCCCGCAGCCAGAAGGTGCTTCAGGGGTCCCCTCGATGGTGTCAGCCACAGCCCACGAGAAGAAGTGAGGTTTGTAGGTGGGCACAGGGAATGGAGGTGTGGTGTGTCCGCTGCGATCAGCTGTGCCAACCCCCAGATCCGGCTCACTGCCCAGCTCCCATGGCACTCCGCCTTCTGGGAGCGGGGGCTCCAGGGTCTGGGGATACTGGGGCCCGGGTCTCCTATCTGTGTGAGAGTCTGAGAACCCCCAGGAAAAGCCAGCTCCAGAAGCACTGGTGTCTGAGCAAGGGCTCTCCAAAAAGAGGGGGTTGTCGAAGAAGACGCTCTCCTCCTCAGCACCCCACTCCGGGGAAGAGTCCGGCCTTTCCTCCCTCGGCCACACGGGCTTCAGATTCTCCCCCTCAGGCCCACTGCTGTCTCTCCCAGAGGCCTCCTCCGTGGGCGAGCTGGGGTGGAGGCCCGAGCCCCGGGGGCCTGCGGGGCTGGAGGGGAAGGCAGGGAGCTCCACAGGGGCCGTGGGGATGCAGCACCTCAGCTCAGCCCTGAGCCCTTCTGTCTTCTCCAGCTCCTCCTCCAGGTCCAGGACGCACATCTGGGCCTGCAGGATGCCCGCCCAGAACATCACCTGGGTGGACGTGCTCTGGCTCTGCCTGGGGCTCCCCAGAGGATGGCTGCTCCTGGGTGACCCGGGGGGTGCGGCCTTGTGCCTGGGCCCCCCCTGGGAAGAGCCGCTCCCCAGGTGCACAGGCTCTGCGTCGGAGGCCCCGGGAGGAGCATCTGGCTTCGTGGAATCTGGAGGCTCAGAGGACCAGGTCTGTTCCGCACAAGGTTCGGGAGGGTCAGGATGGCCGCACGTCTCCCTCAGGTCTGCTCCTGGGCACGGCCGCAGGTCGTCTCCCAAGGAGAGGCTGAGAAACTCCATGGGTTTGGGGTGTTCAGAGAGGCTGTCGTCACCCATCATCCGGAGCGCAAGCTGCTCAGGAGGCCCCAGAAATGTCCGCCTTCACAATCCCATCGTGTGGATGAGGGGGAGCGCTGGCCTGGGGTGCCGCTGGGAACCCACATCTACCCTGCAAGCGCCCAGAGCAAATGCAGGTTAGCAAAGGCTGTGAGCCCCTGGAGACACACGTCTAGTGTATTAGATGCGTCTGGGGTGCCTGCCGCATCCATGCTCCCGGCTAAGGGATACTGCCAGCCACAGCCCCGCCGGCGGGGTGAGGAGGGCACCGTC